CCCCCCTTCGGTCCTGGCCCTGGCCCCGAAGGTCTTCCGGCCCCGGTCCAGGTGCCCGGCCTTAGGCCACCTGAGGCCGACCCCCAGCTTGGCCTTGAAAAGGCTCGAGCCGCCAAGCGGCGGCGAAGAGAGAGGGAGAGAGAAAGGGCAAGCAAAGAGGCTAGGGCAGGAGCAAGGGAACCGCAAGTGGAAGCCCGCGCCAGTTCTGGAAGCGGGGAGATCCATCAGTTTTACCAAACATCCTATTGTGTGTGTGGGTGTGTATGTTGTATGTGTCCCGCGGGCCTTCAATTGGTTTTCGACCCTCGAGCGTTTACAGTCGGGCCTCTGAAGAAGGAACCCTTCTCGTTGGGGAGGGTCTCAGTGTTCCCTGACTGTTTTACCGCGTGTTCTGGGGTTGCTCTTAGGTTTTTATGGGAAATCGACTTCGAACTTCTGGAAAACAGTGGCCTCGCTCCTTAACCAGGGTTCCTTGTGGCAGCGTTTGGACCGTATGTTTCTCCCTTTGCGCACTGGCCCGATGGGTTCCAGTCGGTGTGTCGGGCCCTTGCGGGGAGATCACCCTCATCGCCCGGACGAGTGCTGCAGGCTGTACGCTTACAGATCTGAATGCAGTCGGACGGAGGTTTCAGGTTCTAGGCCTAGATGGGGTCGGAGTAGATGGGTTCGGAGGATCGCGCCGCATCGCCGATGCATCGGCGATGCGGCTCGATGTGGAGCCCGACTTGCTCCGCGTCGACGTCGCCGATGCACAGCGATGTCGACGTTGCATCGCCGGTGCATCGCTCATACAACGCCGATTTATCGGCGATGTGGCGCGATCCTCCGACCCCATCTACTCCGACCCCATTTAGGACGCTTCTAAAGATCGAGGTCGGCTCGAGGAGGGTACCATAGTGTTCTTCGTGTTTGTTGGATGTTCTTGTGCATCCTGGGGAGGGTACCCTTGGATGTTACGTTTGTCTGGGCCGGCGGAAGGTTTCATGTCCTTGAAGGATGTTTTTCTGGCCTAGGTCCGACTCTATGGGATACAGGCTTGCCTTTAGCTTGACGCGTGTGCGTACATGCTTGAATTCTCAGGCGCATACCCTGAGATCCTGGCGTCTCAATTTTCTTAAACTGGGCTTTTCGCTTGTTTCGGGGCCCAAGGACCCTCACAGATCGATGCGGCTCGAAAAATGACGCAAGGTTCCGGGGCTCCTGTTGCAACGTCGAGTAGCAGGGTAATGTGTTGCGTACATTTCCCAAACAGTGCTTGCACGTAGGGGTTCTTACTTGTGCTCTAAGGAACTAGGCCTGGGTGGCGGTTGGCGGCTATGTTGCTGCCGTCGCCGCCGCGTCGCCGCCGTGTCGCCGCCCCGTCGCCGCCCGTCGTCTGGGCCCACATGGCGGTCTGGCGGCTATGTTGCCGCCGTCGTCGCCCCGTCGCCGCCTCGTCGACGCCGCCGTCGCCGCCCCGTGGCCGCCTCGTCGCCGCCCGTCGTCTGGGCCTGGGTGGCGGTCTGGCGGCTATGTTGCCAGCATCGCCGCCGCGTCGCCGCCACATAGGTTGCACCACGCAGATTGCACAACATAGATTTCACCACATAGATTGCACAACATTGTTTGCACCACACATGTTGCACCACATAGATTGCACGACATACGTTGCACAGCATGGATCGCACCGCATCTATAGATCCGTGTACCTTTCGCCACATCGATTGCACAGCATAGATTGCATCCCAGAGGTTTCCCCGGATATATTGCACCACCCAGATTGCACCACAGATATTGCACCACACAGGTTGCTCCACATATATTGCAGCACCTATCAGGCACCACATAGATAGCACAACACACATTGCACAATATATATATATATATATATATATATATTGCACCACATACAGTGCAACAGGTGTATCCAAGGAATTCGGATCTACCCCCCTGCCTTGGATTATCGCCCCAATGGGGATGTGCAGTTCACATATGAGTATGCCCCATCGCTCACTTCAGATATGAATTCATCCAGTATCGGCACCCCTTTCATCACCTGCAGAACATACTATGCGTACGCATTCGTTTATCACATACTACCTACCTATACGACCACCCTTCGGGTGACAAGGAGGGTCGGGGGGGAGGAACCAACGTCTCACTCGATCGGTCTCACGATCGATCTCACTATCGATCTCACGATCGGTCTCGCTCGATCGATATCACTCGATCGATCTCACAATCGATCTCACTATCGATCTCACAATCGATCTCACTATCGATCTCACTATCGGTCTCGCAATCGATCTCACATTCGGTCTAACTATCGATCTCACTATCGATATCACAATCGATATCACAATCAACGTCATCATCAACATCATCGTCATCAATGTCATCGACATCATCATCAGCATCATCGGGGCACCATCATCATCATCATCATCATCACCTCATCACCATCATCATCATCACCATCATCGGCATCGGGACACCATCATCGTCACCATCATCATCGACACCATCATCATCGGGACACCATCATCATCTTCATCGGAAAATCACAATCATCATCTGTATCAGCATCTCATCATCATGATCACGAACAACATCATCAACAACATCATCATCATCATCATCATCATCATCATCGGGACACCATCATCATCATTAGCAACATCATCTTTGCCAACATCATCATCATCATCGGAACACCATCATCATCGTCACCATCATCATCGCCGTCATCATCATCAACATCATCGGGACACCATGATCCTCATCAACATTAGCATAACCATCACCATCATTAGGCCACCATCATCAAAACCATCATCATCACCTCACCATCATCCTCATCATCAACATCATCATCGTTATCGGGACACCATCATCGTCATCATCATAATTATCATCATCACCGGGACACCATCATCACCATGACCATCAACATCCACAGCATCCTCATCAACCTCATTCTCATCATCATCGGGACACCATCACCATCATCATCATAAAATCATCTGATCATTCTCAACATCATCAGGACCATCATCATCATCATCGGGGCACCATCACCATCAGCAACATCACCATCACCAACATCATCATCATCCGGGCACCAGCATCATCACCACCATCACCATCACCATCACCATCATCATCATCATCATCATCATCAACATCGTCAACATCATCATCATCATCATCATCATCATCATCATCATCATCATCATCATCATCATCATCATCGGGACACCATCATCATCACCATCATCATCATCATCATCATCATCATCATCATCATCATCATCATCATCATCATCATCATCATCATCATCGTCAACATCATCAACATCATCATCATCATCATCATCATCATCATCATCATTATCATCATCACCGGGACACCGACGGGACACCGGCGGGACACCGGCGGGACACCGCGCGCCACCGGCCCCCGAGCGGGACACCGGCGGGACACCGCGGGGCACTGGTTGCCGGAAGGGAGACATTTGGTCCGGCCGCGCCTCAGCTACAGGAGACTTATTTCTCGCCCGCCCACGCAGCTTCGCCTCGCCCGCACGCACGCCACGCACGAAAACGAAACCGAAACCGATTCCCCGGTAGGGGGGCTCTCTCTCCGTTTTACTTCGATCTCACTCCCTCACCTCCGATGTTCAATAACCCCTTGCAAAGCAAACGAAAAGAAGACGCGCGCGCACGCCAAACTCCTTCAGTACTCAGGTGTGTCATGCCTGAAGCAAGCGACTATCACGAGCACACATGAAGCACATGGTTTGGCAGCGTGACGTTTCGAAAGAGGTCTGCGTGCGCGCCCGTTGGCGTGCTGACATGGGTTGATCCCCTTGCAGACTGTCGCGGATGATGGGTCAGACTTCAGACTCGAGCAACGGCTCCGATGACGAGGCAGGGCTGGTGAAGAAGTGAGCCAGTCGCGCTCGCTAGGGCGCGGGGAGGGTCGCACTTCCTCCCCCCCCCACCCTGCCTCTGATGCTACACCTCCTGAAACCCAGCCGTTGCCGTTTGGGTGCAGCGCCGTGGGGTCGCAGACCCATGTGCCTTGGCGAGCATGCGGGATGCGGTCACCTGCGCTAAAGGTAAACAGGCGGCATCACTTTTGAACGGACGGGTTGTCTTCTCTCGCCACCTCTTCGTTCCTTGTGTCCCCTTCTTCCTCTTTGTCCTCGCCGTCCTGCTTCCACTCTCCTCGCGTCCCTGCTCCTCCCCGACCCCCGCGCCGCCCACACTCGGTCCATGCATCGATGCGCCAATGAGTTCTGCGCGGACGTGCCGCCATGTTCCCATGTGACAGTCCATGCTACAACAATTCTGTTTACGCGGCCAGTCAGACCCAAGTTTGCGCCGTTATGAATATATGCGGCAGGCTGGACCACAAATTGCGCCGCGAAGACCATTACATTACATAACCAAACTCAAGCGTCGTGGCGGAAAGTCGGATCCTCGATCTCTTCCCCATCCTAAAAAATCGTATGACCTCCCTCCCTCCTCCTCTCCCCAGGGAGCAGGGACGGAAAGGTGGTGCTAGGACCGTTGCCCAGTCTTGCTTTCTCCCCCCCCTCTCCTTGGGAGGGGGATCGCGTTGAGGAGGGCGGAGGGAGGGAGAGAGGGAGGGAGAAGGGGGGTGACGAGGTGGAGGCAGAAGGGATGAGGAGGTGGATGGGGCATGTAGGAGGAAGAGGAGCGAAAAGGACGTTGGAGGAGGATGGGGGAGGAGTGAGACAGAGAAGGAGAGGATTGGGATGGGGGAGATGAGGATTGAGGAGGAGGGAGAGAGGGAGGAGGAGGGAGGGAGGAGGAGGAGGAAGAGAAGGAGGAGGGCGGACTCTCGCAAACGGCAGAATGGTCACCATTGATACCAACTTGACCTCGCCACTTGTCACGATCGTCCGCAGCATTTGTAGATTTTTAAAGGCTCCTCGCAAGTATTCAGACTCGCGGCCTGCGTTTCGGCGGGCGTGGCTCTCAGCTCTGTCAGGATGTTCCACCCAGGGGCCCATGGAGAAGCGGCCCCCACATGTGATCACGCTGCGTCCGCAGATCAGGGCGCGGAGGGAATGACCCTTCACCAGTATCTCGCGAAGACCAAGATCTGCGCACACTTCGCCAGGGGATCCTGCAAGTGGGGCGACCAGTGCAAGTTCGCACACGGCGAGAGTGAGTTGAACAGGCCGCCAAATTTGAGCAAGACGCGGATGTGTTCTGCCTTCCTCAGGGGCGCCTGCGGCAGGGGGGCGTCCTGCACCTTTGCGCACGGCGCGCACGAGATGGTCAAGGTGGACCTCTTCTACAAGAGGGCCCTCTGCGCCTGGCACCAGGCCGGGCGGTGCCGCAACGAGGGCCACTGCTGCTTCGCCCACGGCGCCGACGAGCTCCGGGCGCCGCCGAGCGGCACCCCTGGCAGCAGAACGAGGATGTCCGAGGCCCCGGGAGCGCAAGCGAGAGCCGCGGGGAGGAGGGGCTCGCCAGGAGGGGGGACACCGTCGACCCTTGGCTGCTCTGACACGCACGTTTCGAAACGTAACACGTGCCGTGTCCAAGGCGTCCAGGTTCAAAACGTATGTGTTCAGTCTACGTGTTGAGCTCCGCATCAAAACGCTACGTGTTGCGCGTTGCGTCTCGGGGCAGCTAAGCATCGACCATACGCAAGAGTGGCCCTCCGCTGGAGCGACCTTTGGTGCGGGCTCGTCGGGGTCCCCGCGATCGCCGAGCGCGACGCGCCAGCAGCGGCTTGCTCGCCGGGATCTGGCCCCCCGTGCCCCCCGTTGAGCCGCGCACCGAATGATTAAGCAGACTAGCCGGCTGCTCTGAGGTTGATCGGGAGTTTCAGTACATAGCAGAATGGGCGTGCGCTTCTTGGCGGGAGGAAAATGATCGAGAGGAGAATGAGCGTGAGGATTAGGAGGGGGAGACTCGCGAGAGGGAGGATCAGGAGAGTGAGGGTCACGCGGGTGAGGATCAGGCCAGCGTGGAGCAGGAGGGTGAAGATGTGGAGAAGGAGGGCCAGGTGAGGCTGTGGAGCAGGAGGGCCTGAAATGGTCCCTGGGGGGTGCGCTGGAGGCCCGTGGAGCGATGTTGCGAGAATGTTTCGAGCGAGAGCGCCCGATGGGGACGCGCCCGGCGCAGCGCCGGAAATGGTCCGCGCTGGGGGCCCGTGGGGCGATGGTGCGAGGATGTCTCGAGCGAGAGCGCCAGATGGTGTGGACGCGCCTGGCGCAGCGCCGGAAATGGTCCCTGGTGGGGACGCTGGGAGGTGACTTTCTTGCGCGCGGGGGGTCAGGATGACGTAAGTTCCACAGAAACTCCCACAAGAAAAGTCACCTAACCCTTTGCGAGGGGACCTAAGTTAGGGGGGCCTGGAACATTAGGGATAGGGGGTCTGTTCTGCAGCTGTATCGAACCAAACTGCCGAGATTTATGTATCCCTAGTGCGAAGACGGGGACCTCAGTGAGGCCACGTCTTCATCGTACTGTCAGGGTTAAGGGCTCCCTTCTCCTCAATGACCAGAGATCACTCTTGCCCAGGGTCCTTCTTGCGTGTAGCCGCATAGGGAGGAGGGACGACGCCACCACCGGCGAGCCACCTCCCGCGAGGGTGGCCCCGCGGTGCCTCCCCGAGCCGCATGATTGGGATGTGCCCCAAGCGTAAAGTCGGGCATGGTGGTTCATCAAAAAATAATATGGGGACGATTTGTTGCGTATTTTTGCCAATGTTTGATCAAGGCTTAACTATTTGAACTTGTCCTCCAAAATCCGTCTGTAAGGGGACATGCCCGACCTGACCCGAGCGGGGCGGGGCGGAGCGGGCCCTGGCCACCCGGAGGGCCCGCCCGCGCTGCCGCTGCTCCCGGGGGGGCGGTGGCTCGAAGAGGGAGAAGCTCACCGAGCGCGTCCCACCACTCGCAGAAGTGCCCGCTCGCAGACGTCTGGAAAAGCACGTGTGCGTTTCGATGCAATGTGTCGCAAGTCCCCCATGGCGGATCCAGGCCGGTTCCGAGTGGCTCCTGTGCGGGTCGTGGAACGCGCTTGTCTGGGAACGGCATAAACAACATAAACTGTTGGCGCTCCGCGCGGATTTCTTGCATCCGCGCTGGGCCCCCCCGACGGTGCCTCCGGCGCCGCCCCCGGCGCGCTCCGCGCGCCAGGGGCGGCGCGAGGCGCCAAAAGTTTATGTTAATGGTCTTCTTCTTCTTCTTCTTCTTCTTCTTCTTCTTCTTCTCCTTCTAGTGGTGGTGCCGCCGCCCGTCCTTGCTCCACCGGGGCGCCCCCTTCACTACGGGGCCCCAAAACGGGCAGGCACCACCACCACCACCACCACCTTCATCACCCCCATGCCTCTCCCGAGCCACGGGACAAGAGGATAACGGAGGAGGGAGGGGGGGATGGAGGTGGTGGTGGCGCATGTTCTTGGGGCCCGCATCCACCCAGGGCGGGGAGGGGGAGGGAGGAGAATAAGAGATCGGAGGCTTGGATGTTGGCACCAAAAACCGATTCCGGCATCCACAGGGAAGATGATCCTGATCCCAGTGACAGGATGCTCGGGTTCCGTGAGTGGCCGAGCCATCGCACCAGCACCACGACAGAACTTGGGAGCACTTTCCCCCCGTGGAGGCACTTCCCTTGTGCTGGTGTCGGCGACAATGTGCAGGTCTCCAAATGCGGGAGCAAGCTGGATCAGCGTCGGACCCAGACCCCCGACGTCATCATTGTCTCATAACGTCGACCCCAGGTGGCCCAGGAGGTCTGGACCCCTTCCCCGGGACCGGCTTTTCCTCCCGAGTCGTTTTTCGACGGTCCCGAGGCCCGGTGAGGGCCCCGAGAGGCCGTGGGGGGCTCCACATCGTCGTCGTGATTTTTCCCCCGGATCGTGATTTTTTCCCAACCAGGCCGAGAGGGCTGGTTGGGAACAACAACCTCCCGTCGTCGTGATTTTTTCATGGCCCGATGGGGGACTCCGCATGCGGGAGCGACCCGGATCAGCGCCGGAGGCGCGAAGGCGTCCGCGCCCCGCGCTGCCTGGTCGCAGCCGGAGAGGGAGAGGGAGAGCCTTCCGCCCTTCTCCGCGTGCCGGCGGCGCCGGGGCCTGGAGAGATCACCAACCTCTTCGCGCCGGGCGAACGAGAAGGAGGGGAAGGGGAAAGGGGGGGTTACGAAGTCTGCTGCGTGCAGCTGGTTTCGGCCACGCCGCCGGGCCCATTCCTCGATACATGGCCGCCTCCCGGCGCCAGGAGGCGTCGGGAAAGTCAGCTACGTGAGCTGATTCTCAAATCCCCCCTTTGCTATCCCCCCCTTTCGCCCGGCCCGATCTTCACGCCGAGCGAAGCGCGAAGGGTTAGGCTTAAGTCGGGCATGCTCCTCGACAGGAGGAAAGTTCAATCAGAGTCAAAAGATGATATGGGGACGGCTTCTGGATTATTTTTGCTTGTGGGGGGGCTATGTTTTGACTATGTTTGATGCCTCCTCCAAAATCCGCCTGTGGGCGGACATGCCCGACCTACAGGTAGGCGACCCAGGATGGGACCCTGAGATCCTGGCGCTGCCACTGTTTCACAACGCGCGTTTTCGCTCCGCTTCGGGCCCCAGGACCCTCACAGATCGATCCGGCTCGGAAAGTGTCGCAGAAAGGTGTGCTGGGCCCATTTTCCACCACCACTACCATACGTAGGAAAGGGAGGAGGAGGAGGAAGAGGAGGAGGACATCCTCATCCTCCCCTCTCCCCCGACCTACACAGGGTAGTAGTGATGGAAAACTTGCCCAACAAGATACAAGATGGGGTCCCCAGGGCTCCGGTCGCGATGTTGTGCGATGCTGCATGCTTCTTTGCAGCGTCGGACGTCTCGGGGGAGAGGGGAGAGGCCCTGACCCCCGACGTCATCCCGATCTTTCACGGCGTCGACCCCCGGGAGGTTTCGACCAGCTCCCCGGGGCCGAAGCCTCATCTTGGGCCTTTTGTTCTCTTGCACAGCTGTGTTCTGGAGCTCGGACCTCTTTGTTTTCGTCGTCGTCGTTCGTTCGTTCGTCGCTCGTCCTCCCCCCCTCCCCCGGCCACAGGAGGAGACTCCTGGAGGAAGGAGGCGAGAGCCTCCTGTCCCTCGCGGCTCCCTGGTGCAAAGAGCCGGGGCGCGCGTGCCACGTGTTTATCTTGGCGGCGGCGAGGGTCCCCGGAGGCCGAGTGCGGCGAAGCGTCTCCCGTCGTGGTCTTTTCGTGACTCGTGAGGGGGTCGTTGGTCAGAGCCCCGAATCATCAGGGGTAACTCGGGCGTCCAGAGCCCCGAGTCATCATTGTCTCATAACGTCGACCCCAGGTGGCCCAGGAGGTCTGGACCCCTTCCCCGGGACCGGCTTTTCCTCCCGAGTCGTTTTTCGACGGTCCCGAGGCCCGGTGAGGGCCCCGAGAGGCCGTGGGGGGCTCCACATCGTCGTCGTGATTTTTCCCCCGGATCGTGATTTTTTCCCAACCAGGCCGAGAGGGCTGGTTGGGAACAACAACCTCCCGTCGTCGTGATTTTTTCATGGCCCGATGGGGGACTCCGCATGCGGGAGCGACCCGGATCAGCGCCGGAGGCGCGAAGGCGTCCGCGCCCCGCGCTGCCTGGTCGCAGCCGGAGAGGGAGAGGGAGAGCCTTCCGCCCTTCTCCGCGTGCCGGCGGCGCCGGGGCCTGGAGAGATCACCAACCTCTTCGCGCCGGGCGAACGAGAAGGAGGGGAAGGGGAAAGGGGGGGTTACGAAGTCTGCTGCGTGCAGCTGGTTTCGGCCACGCCGCCGGGCCCATTCCTCGATACATGGCCGCCTCCCGGCGCCAGGAGGCGTCGGGAAAGTCAGCTACGTGAGCTGATTCTCAAATCCCCCCTTTGCTATCCCCCCCTTTCGCCCGGCCCGATCTTCACGCCGAGCGAAGCGCGAAGGGTTAGGCTTAAGTCGGGCATGCTCCTCGACAGGAGGAAAGTTCAATCAGAGTCAAAAGATGATATGGGGACGGCTTCTGGATTATTTTTGCTTGTGGGGGGGCTATGTTTTGACTATGTTTGATGCCTCCTCCAAAATCCGCCTGTGGGCGGACATGCCCGACCTACAGGTAGGCGACCCAGGATGGGACCCTGAGATCCTGGCGCTGCCACTGTTTCACAACGCGCGTTTTCGCTCCGCTTCGGGCCCCAGGACCCTCACAGATCGATCCGGCTCGGAAAGTGTCGCAGAAAGGTGTGCTGGGCCCATTTTCCACCACCACTACCATACGTAGGAAAGGGAGGAGGAGGAGGAAGAGGAGGAGGACATCCTCATCCTCCCCTCTCCCCCGACCTACACAGGGTAGTAGTGATGGAAAACTTGCCCAACAAGATACAAGATGGGGTCCCCAGGGCTCCGGTCGCGATGTTGTGCGATGCTGCATGCTTCTTTGCAGCGTCGGACGTCTCGGGGGAGAGGGGAGAGGCCCTGACCCCCGACGTCATCCCGATCTTTCACGGCGTCGACCCCCGGGAGGTTTCGACCAGCTCCCCGGGGCCGAAGCCTCATCTTGGGCCTTTTGTTCTCTTGCACAGCTGTGTTCTGGAGCTCGGACCTCTTTGTTTTCGTCGTCGTCGTTCGTTCGTTCGTCGCTCGTCCTCCCCCCCTCCCCCGGCCACAGGAGGAGACTCCTGGAGGAAGGAGGCGAGAGCCTCCTGTCCCTCGCGGCTCCCTGGTGCAAAGAGCCGGGGCGCGCGTGCCACGTGTTTATCTTGGCGGCGGCGAGGGTCCCCGGAGGCCGAGTGCGGCGAAGCGTCTCCCGTCGTGGTCTTTTCGTGACTCGTGAGGGGGTCGTTGGTCAGAGCCCCGAATCATCAGGGGTAACTCGGGCGTCCAGAGCCCCGAATCATCAGGGGTAACTCGGGTCAGGGATAACCCGGGCTCCTTTTTCGGGAATCCAAACCCGAGTTACCCCGGACCCGAGTTACCCCGGATAACTCGGGCGTCCAGAGCCCTGAATCATCAGGGGTAACTCGGGTCAGAGATAACTCGGGTTCCTTTTTCGGGAATCCAAACCCGACTTACCCCGGACCCGAGTTACCCCGGATAACTCGGGCGCCCAAGTTGGGGGGAGGGGGGGGCCATATACTTCCAGCGCGTCGGAGGATCGAGAAGCTGCTGATGGGTCGCTAGTTTTGGAGGTCGGTCTCGGGTTTCGCGGCCGTCTGGAAACCGGCCTGGGAAGAAGCGCCAGCCTTGGGGAAGTGGTTGAGAGGCCTGGTGGGCCACGCATTGCAAATATCGCTGCGCGGTTTGTTTCGACGCGCGCCCTTGCGTCTTGGGGAGGGCGCCTCGGCCACCAGGGCAAACGCCGCCTCGGACGCGGTGGGTTTGCCGTGGTGCGGGCATCGTCTACCTTGGCGCCGGGCGCAGGGCTTGTTGCCTTGTGATGTTCCAACCTACCCTAGCCTTGATCACCAGGAAGAATTTCGAGCACCAAGCAAGTACCGAAACTGGAGGGTCTTGACGTGTCGGGCCCTGGGAGGCGAAACTCGTTCGACACTGTTTCGATATTTTTCTGGGTGCTCGAAATTATTTCTGGGATGTGGTCCTTAAGTGCGATGGGAACAGCACAAGGCTTGCCCTGGGTTTTTCGTGGTGTCGGCGTCGTTCACTCGGGCGCGTCTAGAGCAATCGGCGCGGCGACATGTCGAATCGCCGAAGGTCTGGGGAGAATGCGGTGTGTATCTGTTTTTGTTGCCCCCGCAGGCCTCCACAGATCTCGCGGCTTTCGAGTCCACGGATCTCGCGGCGTTCGAGGACGCCGACAGCAGTTGCTCGGACTCGCTGGAAGGCAGCGCAGGCTCGGGTTCAAAATGTCGTTCTCGTCGCGGCGCCATTCGCGTTCGCGACACATGTGTTTTGCTGGTGGTGGGCTGTTCCGCGTCCCCGTCGCAGTGGTCGTCGTCATCTGCTCATGGTCAAAATCGGCAGCTGGACCTCTCCTGGAGCGCATCCTCGCCAGGCCCTCGTGCCGTATCCAGCCGCATCGACGAGGGGGGGGCCGAAAGTCCAGAAGAGGAGGACAAGGAGGACGCCAGCAGAGGCCCCCCGAGTCTCCGGACGCCTCTGGAGGTCTCCAAAGGCTTCCCGTGGCCCCCAGGAGGCTCCCATAGGCCTCAAGCTCCAGAGGCCTACAGACCGACAATAATGCCACCCAATCATGGAGGCCGTCGTTGGTGTCGCCCCCTTGCAGCCTCCCCTGAGAGCCGACGTTGCGAAACATTGCGACCTCGGGGGAGAACAAAAGCACGACTGGAGCCCCGGACCCCATCTTTCTGCGTCACGTTTCGAGCTGGATCGATCCGTGGGAATCCTGGGGCCCGAAGCTGGGCAGCGACGCCCGCTGTGAGATCCGCAGGCCCCGCCTGGAGGCCCCCGGCCGTCCCGCCGGTGGCGGTGCGGCTGCCGCCACCGCCCCCAGGACCCCCGAGCTGGCCGGAGGGACTGGTCGCTGTCGCCGGCGGCCTCCTGCGACGGCCTCCGTCGGCCCCGCGGGCGCGCGGGGGGGGCCTCGATCGGGCAGCCTCTGGCGGCCTTCGGTGGCCCTGGCAGGCGCGAGGCGGAATCGCCGTCGTCGGTCGGAAGAGGGGGAGCAGGATGCTGAGGAGGAGGGGGGGGATGAGGAGGAGGAGGAGGAGGAGGAGGAGGAGGAGGAGGAGGAGGAGGTGGAGGAAGAGGAAGAGGAGGAGGCAGAGGAGGAGGAGGAGGAGGAGGAGGAGGAGGAGGAGGACGAGAGGAGGAGGAGAGGAGGGAAGGAGGGGGGAGGAGGGGGAGAGAGGAGGAGGAGGAGAAGGATGGGGATGGGGGGGTGAGATGATGATGATGATGATGATGATGATGATGATGATGATGATGATGATGATGATGATGATGATGTTGATGATGATGATGATGACGCTGATGTTGAGGATGATGATGATGCTGATGCTGCTGATGATGATGACGATGATGATGATGATGATGATGATGATGATGAGCTGAGCTGAAGCTGATGCGATGCTGATGCTGATGCTGATGCTGATGCTGATGCTGATGCTGATGATGCTGATGCTGATGCTGATGCTGATGCTGATGCTGATGCTGATGCTGATGCTGATGCTGATGCTGATGATGGTGCTGATGATGATGCTGATGACGATGATGATGCTGATGATGCTGTTGATGCTGCTGATGATGCTGATGATCATGATGGTGATCATGATCATGATCATGATGATGAGGAGGAGGGGGAGGCGGAGGAGGAGGGAGAGGAGGAGGAGGAGGAGGAGGAGGAGCAGGAGCAGGAGCAGGAGGAGGGGAGGAAGCGCAGGAGGAGGAGGCGGACGAGGCGGAGGAGGAGGAGGAGGAGGAAGAGCCAAGGGGAAACATGGCCAGGCGCATCAAGGGAAAGGGCAAGGGAAAGGACGATCAGTGAAGGGTGATGGCAGAGGAAATGGTAGAGCTGGAGGAAGAGGGAGGAGCACGTCCAGTCGTGAGGGGCGCGGGCGAGCTCGTGGTAGCATGCATGCAGTGCCACCGCCCTCTGATGTCTAGCCCGCGGCGAGCTCTAGGCTCGCCCACGCGGCCGCCCCTGCGCAAGGGTCAGGGGCATCGCCGCCGTGTTCACACGTAATTCACACATGAGCAGTTGTGTCGTCGCACGAGGGCCCCGAGGCTCCACAGGAGCTCAGGATGGCAACCCAGAGTCCAGCAGTGTTTCAGCGTGAGTTGTTTCAGGAGGACTTGGATGGGACGAGAGAAAGGAGGAGGAAGAGAGGAAGGATGAGGAGGATAATGGGGATGGGCATGGGGATGGGGATGAGGAGGACAGGCGGAGGAGGAGGAGGAGGAGGAGGAGGAGGAGGAGGGAAGGGAGGAGGAGGAGTTGATGAGGGAGGGAGGCGGAGGATGATGAAATGAGGAGGAGATGATGATGAGGAGGAGGGAGGAGGGAGGAGATGCAGGACGAGAGGAGAGGAAGGAGGACGAGGAGGAGGGACGAGGAGGGGAGGGAGAGGAGGGGGGGGGGAGGAGGAGGGGAGGAGGAGGAGGAGAGGAGAGAGGAGGAGACGTCGACGAGGAGGGGGGATGAGGATGGGGATGGGGATGGGGATGGGGATCGGGTTCGGGAGGAGGAGGAGGGGAGGAGGAGGAGGAGGCGGAGGAGGAGGAGGACGACGACGAGGGATATCGAGGTCGATCGAGGATGCAGGATCAGGGTTGTAGGGCGTTTTTTGGCGCCCCAAGGGGCCTCCACGCCCGAAAACTGACGCACAAAGATGGGGTATGGGGCTCCAGGGGTATGTTTGTTCGCGATGTTTCAACGTTTTCGCAACGTCGGATCTCAGGGAAGAGATCTCAAGGGATGGGGTCCTAAGGTTAAGTCGGGTGTGTCCCTCTACAGGAGGATTAGTCAGAAATGGTCAAACATTGTCTGGGGAGGATGTGTCTACTTGCGCTATGTCTGAGTTTGTTTAAACATGTTTTTGATGTTCGCCCAACATATTCCTGAAGGAGGGCACGCCCGACCTAATCCTAAGGATATGAAGCGATTCAAACGTGGAGCCGCGTCGTTCTCAGGACCCCATCCCCTAGGATCCCATCTTTGAACCACCGGGTTGTGGCGCTCTCTCATCCCTCGCTTCCTCCTCCTCCTCCTCCCTCTCCTCCTCTTCCTCCTCCTCGACGATCACCAAGCAGATCGATGTGGCGGCCACGGCTCTGCAGGCGGCGAAGCCAACGTCGCCGCCCAAGCCGAGGGCCGAGAGGATGGCCACTGCAGCGCGCGCGCGCTGCAGGCGGCGCAGAGGCAGTACTCCCTGGCGTTCTCGGCGAAGCAGAAGGCAGAGGAGGAGGCGCGCAAGGCAAGAGAGCTGCTCGAGGAGAGAGCAGCAGCGGTGCTGCAGGCAGAGGCGGAGTGCGACGCGACCCACAACGACGGCAAGCAAGACCCCTTGTCAGGCATCATCGGGCAGCTCGTGACGGGTCAGCTCGACGAGTTGACCGAAGGGCAGTTGGCAGCAGACACCAGTAAGGAGTTCGCACTGGCAGACGACGACATGGACGAAGAAGCCAAGCGACAGGTCGAGGAGGTCAAGGCCCAGGTCGTGAAGCAGATGCAGGAGAGCGCCAAGCAGTTCCAAGGCCACTTGCGGGGGCACCTCGCGAAGGCCAAGGGGGCGGCGTTGGAGAATCGGAAGGTCACACAGCAGGAGGCCACAAAGAGGATATTGGCATCAGGAGAGCCCACCGCCCCCAAGGCGGCAGCGGAGGCGGCGGATCCCCCAGCGGCAGCGGCGGCAGCAGGAGGCAGCGCCACCGCCAGCGCCAGCGAGGCCGAGGCATACCTGGCCAGCAGGCGCGCAGCGCAGGGTGCAGCGGGGGCAGACAGCCCCCCGCCGCACTAGGGGCGTGCGCGGGGGCGACGGCGGCAGGATGTTGGCGACGCCGCCGCCCACGAGCGCACGCTCCTCTGCGCCAACATCTCAACGTGGGGCCCCACAGCACGGCTGTGGCTGATGCAGCAGGGCATCGGGGGCAAGGGGTTCGACATGATGGCGCTGCAGGATATGCACGTCCCACATGCCAAGATCGAGGGCGCGGAGCTAGACCTGTGCAAGATGGGGTACAGGGCCACATGCACCGCGGCCAGAGATAGCACACGCGCGGAGAAAGGCTGCTGTGGGGGAACGGCAGTGATCTCCAAGGGGCACCTGCGCGTCACCAGCTTCAGGCACCTGGCAAGAGCTCGGCAGGTCTCGAATGTCACAGCTGACATTCGACGAGGCGCTGGTCGAGCAGGGGGTTTCGACATGTGTGACTGGACTCCAGTCACTTGGCCCCTGAAGGGGACGACGCTCACAGTCATCAGCCTCTACCTGGACTGCAACACGTCGTTGGTGGAGGGCATCAACAGCCGCAAGCTCACAGCCTTGGCCGCGTTCATCAAGACGCTGCAAGGGGCGTGGGTGGTCTGCGGCGGCGTCAACACCGACCCGAAGACATTATGGGGGACGGGCTGGCCGAAGGCGATGGGGGCGAGTGCAATCATCTCACTGCCAGAAGACCAGCGCACCTGCTTCCTCGCGGGGCAGGGGCCCTCCCACATCGACTTCGCGACGACGAACGAGGCAGGCAGCAAGCTGACCGCAGGAGTCGAGGACGCCTACGACGTGCCGTGGAAGCCACACATCGGGCTGACGTTCACCATCCGAGGGCAAGGACTACAGACCCAGTGCAGAACGTTGAACCTGCCGAAGGCGTTCCCGCACCCACCGAGGAAGGGCAAGGCGCCCAACCCAGCAGGCAAGAGAACGAAGGGGGGAATGCATGCCAAGGCCATGGAGGAGGCCAAGGCAAGCGCAGCAGGCGCGCAGATCGTGGAAGGTAGAGGCCAGAACACCGAGCTCCTGGACGACGAGCGCTGGGAGGCGCTCACACCAGTGGCAGGCTGGACCAGCTCCCCGACCACCGAGACCGTGGAGATCGGCCAGGGCGACGCGCCCAGGCCCCCGTCTCAACCTTGCCCCCCCTGCACCGTCGGCCTGGACACTCTAGGCGGGCACGGGGGACTTGGAAGAGACGGCCCCGAGGCCCACGTGTTCGGTGAGTACAGACACCAGATGGATGACGACGAGGTCGACGTGTTCGCCGACCTGGACCATGAGGAGGAGGCCGAGGCGATCAGGATGTGCGACGAGCACGTCCAGGACCTGGTGCTGAACTACACGCGGCAGGGGCGTCAGAACGCAAATCCCACAACGGTGCTCCTCGAGCCGTCTGTGGGTTCAACGTCGCCTGGAAGCTTTGCTAATACTGGCGGGAGAGACCCCAGCCCAAAGCGGCGTCAGATCGCAAGCCCCGCTTCGGCGCTCCTCGAGCCGACGGCGGGCAGGTCGTCACCGCGCATCACATGCAGACACCAGATGGACGACGACGAGGCCGATGCGTTCGCCAACCTGGACTCCGAGGCCGAGGCCGAAGCGTTCAGGATGCGCGACGGGAGCGGACAGGACTTGGAGCTAAAGTACACGCAGCAGGGGCGTCAGAACGCAAATCCCACAACGGTGCTCCCCGAGCCGTCTGTGGGTTCAACGTCGCCCGGTGGATTCGCTGATACTGGTGTACGAGATCTCAGCCCAGGAAGGCGTCAGATCGCAAGTCCCACCTCGGTGCTCCTCGAGCCGGCGGTGGGCAGGTCGTCGCCACTCAGCACAGGTAGCACCGACAGGCGTCAGAGCGCGGATCCCGCTACGCCAGAGCCGTCGGTGGGCTCGTCGTCGCCAGGGCACGAAGACAAGCAGTACCAGGACACGACAGTCATGGGAGACCCCTGGACTGATGGAGATGGCAGCGGAGACACCACTTGAGGCAGAGGTACCTGAATACATCGCCAAGTGCGCCGCTTTCAAGGCGACCGCTGACTCTGCCATCGACCTCCGCCAAAGCTTCGCAGCCACCATGAACACGATGGAGCACTTCTACTGCATGGCCTACCACATCGACCCACAGGATCGAGCGAAGTACTGCGGCAGAGGAGACCCGAGAAGATTCACCATGTGCTTGGGTAAAGAAAAGCATGCGAGAAGAGAGAGGCACGCCAACCGCAGAGCCGACTGGTGGAGCAGAGCCGAGAACACCCTGTCGTTGCTGGCGAGGCTGCGGCGGCTTAACAAGGACGTGCGGCAGCAGCTCCACCTGGAGGCTACGGGCAGGCACCTCGCTTACGACGGCCTCCCGAACACGAGCGAGAAGGCATCGGACACGGCCAAGCTACACAGAGAGGAGAGATCTGGAGGACACGATTGGCGGACTTGAGCAAAGTCGACGCCGACGTGATCCAGGGCATGGCAATGCAGGCAGAAGACGAAAAGAGGAATGCAATCAAGGGGGACCTCAGGGAGAACTCGAGGGCCTTCGGACAGTGGCTTTCGCTTGCGGGGAAAGGCCCTGGAGTCCTTCACCGAATAACAAAGCCGCCGCCGAGGAGAGAGGAGGAGGTCGTCACCGATGACGGAGTGCTCGACTGCCCCACCAAGATAGTGGACGAGAAAGCCAAGTCGTTCCACAACATCTGGAAGTGCGACAGGATGAAGCACGAGCAGCACACCGAGGTCCTCCAGCGGCTACGTGAGCGCGCCAAGGCCGAGCAGGCCGCCGAGTGGTTTCTCGAGGACTTAGACGAGGCGCTCAGAGGCGAGCCAGACAAGGGCAAGGGCATCGACATGCTTGTGTGCTCAGACATCCACAGGCTGTCGCCAGAGGGCCACCAGAGGATCGTCGAGCTCTTCAACGCATGCGAGCACGCGCTCGCATGGCCGTGGCAGCTGCTGTGCGAGATTGTGATGTTGGCCCCCAAGCCCGCAAAGGGCGACAGGGTCCTAGCCTTGCTCCCGCAGATGGTGCGCTGCTGGGAGCTGCTGCACAGGCCTGCGGTGAGGAGATGGGCCAAGCAGCAGGAGCGGGAATGGGACGCTGCAGTCGCAGGCAACAGCTGTCTGCGCGAGGCGATGCGGAGAGTGATATGCGACGAGTGCTGCGACGCGCTGAAGCTCTTCCACGGCAACCTGCTCGCGGACATCGAGAAGTTCTACGACGGCCTCCAGCTCGATTGCGTCATCGAGGCAGGCCTGTGGATGGACTTCCGCCCCCGCCTGCTGGTAATGATGCTGTTGCAGCACTCGGCGACAAGAGTGATACGCTGGAAAGGAGCATACTCGACTCCGACCTGGGCAGACAGATAGTTGCTGACAGGATCGAGGCACTCTAACAACCTGGCCAAGACGGTGGTCTACTCCATTCTCGGGAGGTTGCTAGAGGCCTCGCAGGCGCTGCCCAAGCCGATGCCGAGGGCCTGGTTCGGCGACATCAGCATCCGCATCATGGGCAGCGCAGAGGCGGTCGAGAAAGAGCTAACGGCAGTCACAGAGGGGCTCCGAGACGGACTCCAAGGCCAAGGGCTCTCGCTGGCGGACAAGACGGCCATCTTCAGCTCCAGCTTCCGCACCGCCAAGAGGGTCCAGAATGCGCTGCGGGCAAAGGACATCTCGGTCCAGGCCGTCACGGAGAGCAGGGACCTAGGCATCGACAGAGGCGCGAAGGGCACGCTGAGGAGGGCCACACACAGGAAGCGGACGCAGAGCGCGTTCACACGCTGTGGCGAAGTGGGCCTTAAGCTGAGGAGGCGGAGAGGCGTACTTCACCACGGCGCAGTCGCATCCTACATGTACGGCACGACGGTGCACGGCATGGCCCCGTGGGCGAGGCAGAAGGCGCGGCGCGGGTATGCGCAGGCGCTGAGGCGCCCGTGGCCAGGCAGGTGCATCACCACGTTCCTGGCGCTGGAGGGGGCAGACCCCGCGATCACGTCGGTGAAGGCGCAGCTGAAGATTTGGTTCGGGGTCTGGGCCAGGAGCCCCGACATCAGGGGGCAGGTCAAGCGTGCGCGGCCGAAGGTCTACTTCCAGCTGCTGAAGCTCAGATCGGAGAAGAGGTGGCAAGCTCGAAAGGGGCCGCTCGCCAGCCTCATCCTCCTGCTGTGGGAGGTGGGCTGGGACTCCAGATGGCCAGACATCTGGATCGACAGGAACGGCGACTACTGGAAGTTCAGCACCGAGGACCAGGGCGGCGACTACTCGGAGATAGTGGACGCGCTCCTGCAGGACATCCAGGACCAGTTGTGGGAGAGATCCGCACAGCACCACAACGGAGGGGGGCTACAACACGGCGCAGACGTGACGGACCTCAAGAAGCACCTCGGGCAGCTCGCGAAGAAAGAACACCACGGCACCTACGGCGCGCTCCTCACAGCGGCTTGCGCAGGTACCTGGACACGAAGACGGAAACACGAGACCTTCGGCGGCGAGGGGGTCATGTGCGAATGCGGGAGGCCCGAGGACGACGAGCACAGGATCTGGGCCGACCTGCACCGCCAGGGAAGACTGCGAGACCATCCGCAAGACCGAGGGCCTGGCGAGAGGGGCGCACGTCGGAGCCAAGGAGAACCCCGCGTTCTGGCTGAGGGGCATCACACCGAAGAAGTGGTCCACGCCCCCGAAGTGCGACACCGAGCACATCGAGCACACCACGGGCGCCTGCTTCACCCCAGACAGGCTGCGCGCAAGTGAAGGAAGCGAGCTCACAGGCTGCGGTGACGGCCCAGGAGGCGAGTACAGCGCTGATGAGAGGCACTGCAGATGCGGCTGGGGATGGGTGCGACTGCGCGAAGGTGAAGACACCGACGGGATAGCGGGCGCCCGTTTCGGCCCGCTGCCAGGGCGAAGACAGACCAACAATAGAGCGGAGCTCTTCAGCCTGATCAGCTTCGTCAACTCGACAGAGGGCAAGGTCAGCTTGTGGACGGACAGCGAGGTCACGTGCACAGGTTGGGCTGCAAGACGCGAGGAGACCAAGGGGCTCGGCTGCATCAACGGCGACCTGTGGCACCAGCTCGGAGAGGCGATGCGCAAGAGAGGTGGCGACCGCAGCGACACCAGCGTGCACCACCTCAGCAGCCACATGACGGAGCTGGAGGCCAGAGAGAAAGGCATCACACGGCGAGTCTGGGCAGGCAACAAAGCGGCGGACAAGTGCGCAGCGGCAGGCGCCAAGACCCACGCGATCAGCGACACCGAGATGAGCTGCTACGAGTGGATGAGGGCGACGGCGCACTTGGTCAGGCAGAGGATCGCAGCCACCACGAAGGACGCACTCACCAGACGGCCGCCAGAGGAAAAGGAGATGCGTGAGGCACGACGAGCCCAGGCCAAGCGGAGGAGGCAGGAGACGCTGAGGAAGACGGACCTGCTCGGCGACAGCCCACGGCGAAGGCCCGCTTCGCAGCATGTCCTGAAGCGGGACCGTCGGGGCACGGGCTGGACATGCCTCTGCTGCTGGGGGCCGGTCAGCAGCACTACCACGGCGAAAAACATCCACGGATGGCTGACGCAGACCTGCAGCGGACCTCCGCCCCCGACGGCACTCACGGTCACGAAGTACGGGGTCGAGTCGCACCACGCGCGCAGGCTGAGGCGGCTCAGGGGGAACAACCGATTGTTCTGCGAGAACTGCGGAGGAGCCACCACAGAGCTGATCGCCAAGAAGCTACAGGAGCCCTGCTGCGGACACACGGCGCGCGACAGCGGGCACTACAGGCTCCAGTGCTGGCTGAAGCGAGCGGCGTGCGAAGAAGGCACTTGCGACATGCCCGTCGAGGAGTGCACGGAGGAGGGGCCCCAAGCGGAGGAGCTGGAGGAGGCCAGCAGCAGCCGGAGCACGGAGGTCGACGCGGCGGGGGGCGCAAGTGGTGTTTCCTGGCGAAATAAACAGGAAGAGCCACCCCGTCGCTTGCGGGTGAAGTGCCGAGGCGACGCTGCGAGCGCAGAGACAGAGGCTGAGCCAGGCGAGCCAGACCTCCCCCCACCTCTGATCGCCCCAGGAGTGGCCAGGGGCCCCGCGCGGCGGGATAATGTGTGGAAGGCCGAGCTGGCCAGGCGCAGGGCGGAGAAGGAGGAGGCTGCAGCGAGAGCGCGAAGCGCCGCGGCGGCAATGCAGCAGAAGGCAGCCAGCGGCAGCCAGATCACGGAGTCCGAGGCGGCGGGGGGCACAAGTGGCGCTTCCTGGCGAAATAAACAGGAAGAGCCACCCCGCCGCCAGCGAGTGAGGCGCCGAGGCGACATCGTTGGCGCAGAGGCAGAGGCAGAGGCAGGCGAACCAGGCCCCCCCCTCCCACCTCTGAGTGCCCCAGGTGTGGCCAGGGGCCCCGCGAGGCGGGATATTGGGGAGAGGGCCGAGCTGGCCAGGCGCAGGGCGGAGACAGAGAGGAGACCTGAAAGGTCGGAAAGCGAACGACGCAGAGATGAAGAACCAGTGGTGAGGAGGCTTCTGGACGCGACCGCCGCCGCCGCTCCAGCACCGACGCCAGCACCGACTCCAGCACGCCCAGCAACCGCAGATGACACAGCCGAGGAAGAGGCAGCGCAGCGCGAGGCCTCGCGAGCGCTGCTGGAGGCTGAGGGGAGGAGAGCTGCTCGCCCGCCGCCCGAGACCAGAGCGGCGACCGTCGGCCCGCTCCTGGCGCTGGGCGAACTTCGGCGGCTGCTGGACGGAGGCGGAGGAGAACGGCCTGCAGGGCGGGATCACAGGGCCACGCGACAAGGAGCTGATGGCAGAAGGAGTGGTCCTCCCCGCCCCGCAGCAGAAGGACAGCGCTGCGGAGCCGCCGAGAGGAGCGGCCGAGGACGGCCGAGCGGCGCTGGGGGCAGCGCTGACCCGCGCGCGCGCGCCGACAGCGCGCCCGCGCGGCCGAGCCACGACGTGGCGGCTCGAAAGAGCTCGGAAAGAGCTCCTCCGCCTCCTCCTCCTCCTCCTCCTTCTCCTCTTCCTCCCCCCTCTACGTACCCTCTGTCCTCCACCTTCCCCTCCTCACGCATGCGGCACGTCCATTTCCTGCTTCGGGCCACAGGCTCAGTACACGAGTTGCCTATCGCTTGTCGGCTCGTGTGGCGTCCCAGTTCTGCCTGGCGACCTTTTCATCCGCGCAACGGTCCAGGCCGAGGCAGGTGAAGCTCCGTTGTCGCGTTCCCTGTCGTCGTCGTCAGCTCGCGACATTTGCGGGTCGAAGATGATGACCACGAGAATATTCCAATGTCGCGACTTTCGGCCTTGGAGCCGAGGCCTTTCGGAAAAGGCCTCGTCTCTAGGGTCAGGTCGGACGTTCGGCGGGGATGGGGCTGGGGGTTGCAAAGAGGATTGATGACGAAAAATCAATCCCCAGGTATGGGGTCGATGCATCCGTGGGCCCACGCCAAGAACAAACAGAAGCAAAGCGTCGGAGGTCTTCGGGGGTCCAGAGATGAGCAGAAAGAAAAAGGAGGACGAGGATGAACAGCAGCAGCGAAAACTAGAGCGGAAGGCGCAGGAGGAGCAGGAGGACCAGAGGAAGGCGCAGGATGGGAAAGGAGGGGGGCGACAAACATGAGGCAGGTCTCGGATCCACAGGAAAGTTGCCCGCTCTGGGGCAACAGCGCCATTCTGAACGACGGGAGCACGGCGCCGATCCGAAAATGAACCCCACGCTGCAGCGGGAACACCTTTTCTCAAGCACCGAATCCCGTTAGTCAATTCTTGTTTTGTGTGGAGAGGACCGAGCATCTTCCGCACAGAGCCAGGACTGAGAGCGTATATGTATTCATACTGTGTAATTGCATCGGGTGCAGGGGAGGGAGAGGGAACGGGAGAGGGAGAGAGACAGAGCCGAACCACAAATATTCCAGCACTGCCAAACATGCCCGAACATGTCGCCAAGAAGTCCTAAGAACGCCCCAAGAAAATGCCAGGATGGCCGCAGCACGGCCCAGGCATACGAACGGGCTAATAAGCTCTCGTCCAGACAGCGTCTTCCGTCCCCGTACTAAGCACGTGGCGGGAAGAGCGAGGAACGAGTGATGCCTTTCGATGTATCAGGCTCGGAGACGGCGAGGTATTGACAATGACATCCCAGGTGTACGCACCATGCGCTTAGAAAGGACCACAGGCGTCCAAACAGCCGCCGAACATGTCCGAACGCTTCCAATCTCGATCGTCGAGGGTCGGGGCAGGTCTGGCGACAGGCTTGCGGCGCTTCGATTCGGCGGCGTCCCCGGCGGCGGCATTCGAGGCTGATCAGGAAACCCAGAACACAGACACTGATAGACGACGTTCCCCAGGAAAGTACGGAAAATAGAGGAAGTGGACGAGAAGACGAAGGACCAGAAAGTAATGAAAGATTTAGGGGATCTGGGGTTTTGTGTTCATTCATTTGCGTGTCCCTGGTCCCCATTTTCGTCGAACGATCCGCGCGGTGTCAGAAACCAGCGCAGGAATCGCTACGACAGGAGCCAGCCCCGTACCAGTCGGCGGCGCCCCCAGGTGAGAGAGATGGGAGGGGCTGGTTTTCTCCAAAGGCTTGGAAGACCCTTGCCCTCTGATAGCTCGCATCGATCACAAAAGAACCCCTAACCCTAACAACAATAGGGGCCATCAATCTGGGCGGTTTGATTTGACACATCTGCAGAAGAGACCCCCTGTTCGAAATGCTTCTTGCCTTCCTAACTTAGGTCCCCTCCCAAAGGCTTAGGGGCCATTTGTTTGTTGATCAAGCATCTCTGAAGGCGGTTTCTGACGAGGCCGGAGGGCTTCTCAGAAGACCCGCCACCTCGGAGGGCCTGCCCCCTCTCATCTCCCCCCCTCTCGGCACGCCGCCGAACCACCACGGGGGGGGGGTCGGCAACGATTCGCGGGAGCATGGTGCCTTCTCGAAGCTAATTCTTCAGGGTGCACGAGCGTGCGCCAGCGTCTGGCCGTCGATGGGACAGCGCAGATGTGGCGCCAATGCAGCGCAGGCTCGTGCCAATCAGCGGCGGTTAGCGTTGCTTCGCAGGAGCCAGAGGGTGGGAGGGAGGATCGGGGAAGTTGGGGGGACCAGGGGGAGGAGGAGGAGGAGGAGGAGGAGGAGGAGGAGGAGGAGGAGGAGGAGGAGGAGGAGGAGGAGGAGGGCCATTTGTTTGTTGATCAAGCATCTCTGAAGGCGGTTTCTGACGAGGCCGGAGGGCTTCTCAGAAGACCCGCCACCTCGGAGGGCCTGCCCCCTCTCATCTCCCCCCCTCTCGGCACGCCGCCGAACCACCACGGGGGGGGGGTCGGCAACGATTCGCGGGAGCATGGTGCCTTCTCGAAGCTAATTCTTCAGGGTGCACGAGCGTGCGCCAGCGTCTGGCCGTCGATGGGACAGCGCAGATGTGGCGCCAATGCAGCGCAGGCTCGTGCCAATCAGCGGCGGTTAGCGTTGCTTCGCAGGAGCCAGAGGGTGGGAGGGAGGATCGGGGAAGTTGGGGGGACCAGGGGGAGGAGGAGGAGGAGGAGGAGGAGGAGGAGGAGGAGGAGGAGGAGGA